AAGACATCGGGCAGAAAAGTATTCTAAAACTTGTGCATACGGATATTTGTGGTCTAATAAGCGAAAAATCACACGGAAGAGCATGCTATTTTTATCGATGATAAAACACGATATATTGAGGTTGTATTTCTGAAATCGCGTAATGATGACTGATAAAGAATTCTGATAAAGTTTAAGAAATATCAATTGTGTGTCGAAAAAGAAACTGGTTATAAAATAATCAAATGTGTAGTGATAATGCTAAAGAATACGTTAGCAAAGAATTTAATAATTATCTAGAGTTAAGTATCAATTATCAGTTATACACCATAACAAAATGAGATTGCAAAGCGCGCAAACAGAACAATTGTTGAAATGGTGCGTGCAATGTTAATTAAGGCAAATGTACTTAAAGATTTGTGGGCGGAAGCTATAAATACAGACGTTTTTTTATGTAATAGATGCCTACCAAAAACTAATGATGATAAAACTCCATACGAATTATGATTAAATCGAAATCCAAACATCAAATTTTTAAGAATTTTTTCCCAAGCTATTACCTTCCAAGCTAATACCTTCCTAACGAAAAGTTCAGATATCTCTAAATTTGATTCAAAGAGAGAAAGCAATTTTAGTTGGTTATTGTAATGAATCAAAGACGTATAGATTATGAATTTCCGGTAGCACAAAAATAATTAAAAGTCGAGACGTGCGTTTTATTGAAGATGTAAATGATAACAGAATAAAGTTCTATCCTTAGATATAAATTTAATACCAAGGACAAATGAAAACGAATTAGAAATATCAAAAAACGTAGGTAATCAATGACGCGAGCCGTATAGTGAAAAGAATGAGATGGAGTTGTAGAAAAAATATTAGGTAATAATACAGATAGAACAATACAGACACAGGCGAATTACAATCAGAGAATAGTAAATGAGCTCGAGATATTATAGATCTAACATAATTAGAACTAGTATCCCAAAGCATCTGAAAAAACAATATCATATAGCAAACATTGCAACAAATGATTTAGATAAAGATCCAAAAGTGATATAAGATGCACTCGAGAAATCAGCTAAAAAAAGATGATTAAAGACAATGCGAAATGAATATAACTCGTTATTAGAAAGTAATGCATGGGACCTAGTGAATAAAACATCAAATGTAAAAGTCATTTTATCTAAATGGATTATTCGCATAAAAAGGTTTCAAAACGGGGAGAATAGATAGATATAAAACTGGATCAGTTGCGCGTGTATATGAGTAAAAATTCGATATCGATTATGTTGAAGTTTATGGTCCGGCACGAATACAAACGATTAGAACACTATTAGCAATTAATGTAGAGATGAATTATCACGTACATCAGATAGACGTAACTAGGCCTATATATAACTAGCGCATATATAGGGTGATCTGTTATACTGAGAACAAAAATATAGTCAATTTTTTAATTTAATTTTAATTTTACTTAAAATATTTAGTTCAATACTGCCAACTAAACATTTACTTACTTATAAATAAATATTCGTTCAGTAAAATGAATGATTGTTAAATCAAATTAATGTTTCTTGTATCAAATAAATATGTCTTTATATTTAATAAATATTTAGTTGGCCGTATTCAAATAAATATTTATTAAAATTGACTATATTTTTTCTCAGTGTAGAAACAGTATGTATGGAACAACCACTGATGTTCGAAGGGAATAAATAAAATCATAATATATCGTAAAATATATCAACTACGTCATCCTATTTATGGATTAAAACAATCCGGCCGAGCTTGGCAACATAAATTCAGTGAGAAATTAAAAGAAATTGGAGTAAATGCGTCCTAGATAGAATCTTGCATTTTTGATAACTATAATAATTGTTGTCTACGTGGATGATTTACTTTTAGCGTCAGCATCTATAGAAGTCTTGCGTAAAGTTAAAACAAAGTTAAGCAAACATTTTTTAATGAAAGATTTAGGATCTATTGTATAAGCGAAATATTTGACGTGAGACTCGAGAGGGATGAAGACACTGATTCAATAAAAATTTCACAAAGAAAATACATAAATGAATTCATCGATTTATATATAATATCATATCATCTGTGTGTGTCCCTCTGGTTTCAGGTATAAAGCTAGCAGAAAATGAGAGTAAAAACTCCCAAAGAGAGAAAGGATATGGAACATAAACCATACAAAGAGTTAATCGGTAATCTCATCTATTTGACAAATACAATAAGGCCGGATATTACAGGGACTTTAAGCAGATTTAATTTAAATCCACAACAACGTTGAAAATGCGCTAAGCATGTTATTCATTACTTAAAATAAACTATCGATTATAAGATAATTTAATGGAAAACCGTTACATGTATTCACAGACGGAGATTGGAGAGGTGATCACGATTATAAATCTTGTTCAGGAAGTGCATGTTAGCTAGCGGACCAATAAATTGGTTTTCTAAAAAACAGAAAACAGTTGCATTTTCAACAATAGAAGCTCAATATGTGACTCTCTCCGAAGATATAAAAGAAACAATATGAAAAAAATAATGAATAATAAAAAGAATATAATAAAAAGAATAATAAAAAGAATAATAAGAATAATAAAAAAAATGTACGACCGATATGTAAACAAACCAACAGGTACGTTATGCGACAATTGATTATAATTCCTCCCTTAAAGTAATGTAACGCTTGTCTGTGCACCCATGCTGATCTGTGAGATTAACTGCCCCATTTGAGTATAGTCAGTAATGATTCCAAAATGGGGTATAATCTCTCTCTAAAATAAGATTTTCGCAAACTTGCAATAATATATCAAGTAGGAGAAATCGTTCAATCTGATACAATTCCATCGCTTCTTCTAATGGACGCATTCGACCCGTATGTCTTATGGCTTGAACTTCTTTCAAACTAACGCTGTTCCACAACCGCTTTCTCTCAGTATTAATGAAGTAAGGAAAACATGATTTACTATAGAAGCAAATACATTGAAATAAAATATCATTTCTCTAGAAATGTTCGAAATCAGGGATTGATTCAAATAAAATTTATTCCTACAGATAAAAATGCCGTGGATATTTTGGCGAAATGCTTAATGAAGGATAAGCATTCAAATCGTGTTCAATTATTAATTTTTAAAAAATTATTTATTAAAAATTATGTATCTATAAAATGGGGGGTACCCACATCAACATATAGATACATAAATATAACAATTAACTATTGTTTAAAATATTGTGACGTGACAATTTTTTTCTGTCATTATAGCAAATTGTCGGGGGATCTTACGTCCTTTCGATTCAGAGAGCCAGTAGCGTGCGAGCGCACATGCGAGCGTGCGCTAACTATTCATTTAGTTAAATTGTTTGTTAAGAACTTATTTTATTAATTAGTATTACATTTAGATCTAATATCATCGCGACGAACTTGGTGGCTAAATTAATTATTTTAATCTTGTCACCTCATCCACTATTGAAAGAAGGAAAACCACTATGCAGAAAAGGATATGAATAAGCTGGAAATCATCTCAACCAAATATGCCAAATGGTTGAGAAGGATATCAGTTGGAGATAAAGACACCCCTATGCGGAGCTTGAAGCTTGCCAGAACCTTTTGAGCCAATTCGAATAATCCAAGGGGAATAATCCGTATCAAATTATATTGCACATCCTAAAACGCAAAGATTGCGGTCCGCGAGGATCTATACGATTCGCGAGGCAGCGTAAGTGAACCCGATTAAAAGGGGCCGAATGGTCTGTGTGAATTCACGGAAAACTCCCGGCACTTGTATTGTGGCTGAGCCAGCAAATTGTGAGAGGACGCACGATTTCCTCGCAAACAGAGGGCTATCGTAGAAAGACTGGAGAAATCATATTAGCGATTACCGATTCACAGGAAACAGGATATCGGAGGATACGAGAAGTCGTTAAGTGAAATGAACGTTGCCATAATTGTGAAGCTGTCGATCACGAGGGTCCTAGCGTTGGTTGGATCGCGCATGAAAATTTGAGAAGTTCCGAATGGCCGATTTAATGCTGTGTGAATCAGCAAAATTACGAGCCACATATCATTCATCAGAACGCCTTTTCCTTTCGAGAGAAATACTAGCTGCCGATTAGCATTCGCTCCTTTACCACAGTCGAGTCAATTTGTATTATTTCATTGTATTAACTAGTTAATTGCGATAACAGAATCATTGTAAAATCCGCATTAGAGATCCATTCCAATTCGCGCAGACGTAATACATCCTGATGACATATTTTTTCAGTATACGAGTTCTTGTATACCGGCGACAGATTTTATTCCACATCTGGTTGTCATACAATACTCGTGTAATCTTTCGTAGAGCTGAGATTTAGCGAGATCTAATGCGGTTGCCTAACCAGCATTAATATCAACTTTATTGTTTTCCGCTGATGCCAAGCCTGTAACACCAGGTCTCTCAAACTAATTTCTGAAAGTGAATCTGCGTCTCAAATATACTTGGTATCTACTTGTTAATTTCTGTGTTATTTTTACAGCCTATTTCTCTTGTCCTCCGATAACTTTCCTGTCTGTATATAACGACTTTCCCCTGTTGTCGTCGCAAATTGTGTTTTCGCGTGAATATTATAGAATAAGTAAAAATTAACGAAAAAGTGGTACGCTCTCATGCCTGGCGCTCAATTTGTATTTGTGTAAAAACTTTAATATTTTGCGAAAATTTTGTCAGGTTATTGAGTCATCCAGTAAGAGAATTTTTTTATTTGAGAAATATATTAAAGCACGCGACGAAGTTGTGCATTCATTATTTGCAAGTACTGTTACAATATGAATTGTCATAAATGAACTAATGATTCGTATTTTTTCATTTTTTTTGAGAAATTTCCTGACAAATTAGTTGTCTATATTTTAATGATATTTTATTGAATTTCTTCGGTTTATAAATTTCATGTAAAACACAAATCGCGAATTATAAATTGTCTGCATACTCTGATGCGAGATTAAAGTGCGAAATTAAAATGCAAAATTAAAATACCTCGATGCATTTTCAGGAATGTACCCAGTAAGAATGATGGCGGATGTTGTTTTTAATAGTTGCAGCAGAATTGGTTTATGGATGTTCTGAAATAAATAATACATACATTAATATTTGATCTGATAGTTTTCTATATAAATATTTATCAATATTTGCATGTGAATCATCAGTATCAAATTCAGTATCAAATCGATATCTTTGTAAAGATAAAAATGCTAACTACTTTAGTCATTATTATTTTTATTATATTATATTGAGAGTACAAATTAGTTCTGTCCGTTTTTTGTGTTCAAAAATTTATTTCAAAACAAAATGAATGAACAGATCAATTAAAGTATTGTCCATCGCTGTCTACTACTTTTTCCCATCTCTCAGGCAATTTTCGAATTCCATCTCGAAAAAATGAGTCGTCTTTGGAGATCCAATTTTGGAGCCAATTTTCGATTTCTGCGAAAGAAGTGAACCGGTGACTTGCTGTATCCTTCGGAACAACCAGTAATCAGAAGGAGCAATGTCCGGATGCGGTAAAACATCCCATTTGAGCGTTTCCAAATATTTTTTTACGACATGAGGCTTTAACGACATGAGGCTGAGCTTGTCATGAAGAAGAATAACTTTATCATGTCTTTGCTCGTATTCCGGTCGTTTTTCTCGAAATGCACGGCTCAAACGAATCAATTGTAGCCGAAACCGATCGCCCGTAATGGAATCGTCAGGTTTCAGCAGCTCATAATATTGTAACAAGACCCTTTTGGTCCCACCAGATACAGAGCATGATCTCCGAACTATGAATGTTCGGCCGTGTTGATGTTGAGGTCGATGGCAACGATTGATCGGGCTTAACGTAGTACAGTATAGTTTTTTCTTCTTGGAGTTGTCGTAGAATATCCACTTCTCATCTCAATCACAATCCGATGCAAAAAAACCTTTCCTCTGTTATCTTTGAATCAGCAAGTGAAAAATCGCCTTTCAACATCTCTCGGTTTCAGTTCATAAGGCATTCAATTTCCTTGTTTTTGAATCATTCCCATGGAATCTCTCAATCGTACAGAAACGACTTGTTGAGTTATCCTCAATGATTCTGCAAGCTCCTCTTGCCTCTCCTTTGACTCTGCAAGCTCCTTTGACTCTAATCTTCTTCGAGTAATACCTCTAATTCTTTGTCTTCGAATTTTTTTGACTCCAGAACGAGACTTGTCTTCAACGCTGAAATCTCCATCCTTGAAATGTCGAAACCATTCCCTACATGATTTATCAGTTGGAGCAGTGTCACCATAAACTTCGGCAAGCATTCGATGGGCTTCAGCCGCACTTTTCTTTCAATTAAAGCAGAAAATCAAATTCTTTCGCAAATGCTGCTTGTTTCACACAAAATTCGACATTTCAAACACAGTAAAAATCAAGATTTTTGTGTGAAATTCAAAGTGATATAAACTGAATATTATTAACAGATATTTAACCTCTCTGAAACCGCCAAAATCAGCTGTCACTATGAACCATTCACAACAGCTGGAGCCACCTTTAGGGAAACGGACTGAACTAATTTGAATTCCCAATATAGCGTTTTTGAATACGGTGGATTTGAACCCGACTCAATTCGATTAATTCATGTTTGACTTGAAAGTATCACGATTCCGTCCAATCAGGAATCAAAGTAAAGCATACGTCATCGATCCGACTCTGGATCTTAGATTAGATTAAAACCTACTGCACTCGAAAACACTACTCTCGACAGTATCTGTCGTGTTTTTACTACCTCAAAATTTAATTATTAAGAGTGTGCACTTCTTTTTCATGCTATAATATACAAAAATTTGAATTTGAGCAGTAAAATGCTTAAGATCTATTCCTTATAATTTTGAACTAAAAGTTTGTCAAGTATCAATTTGGTACATTCATTTTTACAGGAGATTAATTTTACTGAAAAGTTAAAAACCCAAAAATTATTAAGACAGGAAAATGATGGAGATCGAAAAAGTATATTCTTTCTTTATAAATTGATTGTATGTGACATATCAAAAGGAAGATGCAAAATTAAATTCGGAAATTTGAGGAAGCTCTGGTTAGTGTTTTAATGGCAAGCAGCACACGTTGGTATAAACATCATCTGGTTTATGTGTGCTTGGTTTATATATACAAGGTGTGTTCAAAAAGTATCGAACTTTTAGTCGGACAAAAGTATATTTATTCATATTCATTCATCTTCTCTTGATTCTTCGCATCTGATTCAGACTTTCTTAGCTAAACACAACATTTCCGTGGTTCGTCAAGTTCCCTACTCCCCTGACATGGTTCCGTGATTTTTGGCTATTCCCCAAATTAAAAATGCCACTGAAAGGGACTCGATTTGAATCAAGAGAAGACATTATGCAGAATGCGATGCAACTGAACACCATCTAAAAGATTCTAAAAGGTTCCAGAAATGTTTCCAATAATGGCTGACTGTTGAGAGAAGTGTGTGCATTACCAATGGAACTGCTTTGAAGGAGATTAGAATAAATGTATTGTGTATGAATAAATGTATTTTTGTTCGATATTTTTTGAACACATCTTGTTCTTACTTACACTTCAGAAATCAAGATCCATATACGAGGAGAGTCTAAAATGTTTTCGGCTTGATACAGAAATGATGCCACAAACTGCTACAATTTTAAACAAGTTTCACAGTGCGACTGGATTCTGAGAAAATCCCGGTTGCATTATAAAGTGTACTGGATGATGTCAGTGAGAAAATGTTCCCGGATTTACGATTTCGCGAGGCCAAAAGGAAGGTCGACAAAGAGGCGCTCCAACTGAACGGTTCCGAGCGCGGATGTAGCAGAATTGGATTTACGCGATATAAACGTTTAGAGTTAATATTTTAATTTCTAAGTTATACCTATATTCCGTATATGAGCTCTAAGATCGTGCACGACAAAAAATTAATTAAATTTTAGCGGACAGCTCTTATACATTCACATACGCACATTTTTATGTATTATTTTACAATTATCGATACCTTGAAGGAGCGAGGACTCGCACGATTTCAAAAGAGATAGACCGCTCTGTTGGGGATAGTTCGTTTCTGATTGCAAATCGAAATCTTACTTGCTTTGTCGGCGCTGGATTTGCCGCATATCGTCGTCTCATTATCGCAATCGTCAATTTCGCGGCTTTCTGTGATCTATGGATCAACAAAATGCAGGTGATTTCGGGAAACATGACGAGAACGAACGAGGAATCGGGAATCGATGGGAATCAACGAAAATTAGGATTCGAGTTTTGACCGTGTCACGAGAACTTCTACTCTCTTCTCAGTCTTAGAAAAATCTCAGAGTCAAACGCGATACAAGACGGTCTTAGACGTTACCGCGTATTCGCGACCCGAATGACTCAAAGAATATTCCTCAGACGATATCACGACCTGATCTGAGATAATGATCTTGGGGCGTTATCAGGAATCGAGTTAATTGGCCTAGGACAATAGTCCCAAGGCGTTGTCAATTATAAGAGATTACGAACATTTACGCGAATATGTCTACAATTCACGAACATTAAACAAATTGATTGTTATCCAGTGTTATCCGACTTATACAAACTTGTAATGTGAAAATTGTACTTAGTTATTAGTGAACATTAAATCATTCCATATTCCTATAGTGACATATATAATTATCCATCGGTAATTACATAACCAATTGAAATATATATAGTCATAGTTAGTATTCAGTACAGAAAAGTGCGTTCTTGGTAGAAAGCCGCTATTATTTAAATGATGAGTTAGTTCATAGGTAGTATATCATTTAAAAAGAAAATTATATTTCTTTTGTTTTATTTCCTTGCGCCGATGAGACATATATCTATGCAATTAAGTTTGTTTTCATTGTTTTTCTTTCGTGCGTAGATAACGTGAACGGTCATAAGTTTTGAGTTAATGTTCCGCGATACGGTGAGTCATTTTAGTTTCCATAGATTGAGTTTCATAGTCAAATTAATTTGGACCGGTAAAGTGATGTTGATTCCTTCCATCACAAGTGTTCCTATAAGAAATGTAAATTTGCATGATCTCAAATTCTTGAAACAAAGAAACTGCGAAATGTGACGGTCGAATTAGAATGTTTGACCGTCAGTCTACATGATGCGTGAAATTCAGATTGTAACAGTTTGATATGAGTACAATGAATAAAGATAAGTCGTGTCAGTGAATGTTGACAAATGATGATGGATATTGCGACTATGTCGTCGATCATAGGATTCCACCGTCACATTCTGATTTCCAATTGATAGTCTATGAGTTCTATCGTCATTTGGGATGTGGATTGGAGAATCATAGTCCAGGCAAGAAAAGAATTCCACCGTCGAGTCTTTGTTTCCGATTCTAAAATGAATTTCCTACGGTCAGTTTTGTTTTTCCCGTGCGTGAGAAATAGCTCCGGAATGGAGTGTGTTGAAGGTTGGATGTAATATTGCATAGGAGCTTGCAAGAAAATGCGACGGTCAAGTTTCCAGTTAGCGATGACATCCGTTTTCCATCCGTTATTTTGAATTCGATGGTCGAAAGAATAAATACTCTATTTGTTAAATGTTTCCACTGTCGCAATATTTCTGTTTCTGATCGGGTTTGGACCATCGGATATTGTTCTCACGGGGATGTTGATGAATGGAACGATTAGATTCTGCGTAAGTAATAATCTCAAGTTTCCATCCTTTTAAATCATCAACGATTCGATTTAATTCAATGAACATTTTCCACCGTTGGATCTTGATTTTCGTCTGATCTTGATTGCTTGAAAATTGATGAATTAGTTTGATTATCGCATTTGCAATTGCGTCATTTTCAACGGTTTCCCACGGGAGACCATTGAGGAAGACAACTCTTACATTAAGAAAAAAATTTTGTTGAAATAAGAAAATACGTTTTCTTGAAACGATGAATTTCTTCGATACAAGTAAATATCCATTTTACAATAATAAGTTATGTCTCGTAAATAAATATTTTGTTATTTTGAGTAAATCATTTTGTATAGTTTGATTTTGTTACTATAAGTAATGATTTCATGACATGAATAATATAATTATTGAAATAAAATAAGTGGTTTATTTGCAA